CAAAACAATATGTTTTTAATTAATTCTCCACGTTAAAAGAGCTGTTTATTAAGTATAATACCGCAATCCCCTCATCTGCCCCTGTAGAGCGCGTTTTTAGTGTAGCTAATACCGTATTAACTGCCAAGTGTTCCTGTCTATCAGATAAATATTTTGAAAACAATTGTTATTAAAATTTATTAAGAAAATTTTTTTATAAATAAAAGTATCTTTTTATTCGCTATATTATATTATATTTATAAATATATTATCAAAATAAAACTATATTATTTTTTAACATGGCTAAAATATATTGTATTAAAAAATATAAGTTTATTTATATTAAATTAAATTAAAAAAAATTTATCATAAAATTTTGAACGGTTTTATGAACGTGAAGACGTTCCTTTATTTTTGAACATGAACTTAAGGTGAACGCGTTCGATTTTTTAGAAATGTTTACAGCACTAGTAAAATGTACTGGAGATTTCGCTAAAACAACTCAGTGTTCTTAAAAATAAAAATCTTAATGGCTTATTTATATATTACACGAATATATTTTAGCATTACTGATTAAACCAATGACATATATAATACCTTAGAGAACTGCACGGGCTGTCCGTAGCCCGACCCGACCCGGCCCGGCCCGAGCCTCGGGCTCGGATCGGGTTCGGACATCAAAAAAAAATTTCTCGGGTTCGGGCTCGGGTCGGGTTGTAAAAGCTGTCCGACCCGAAAACCCGACCTGACCCGACCCGAAAATATATATAATAATATTAATATCTTAAATAGTTAGTATAATTTATAATATTAATTATAAAATCATATTATTTAATATTTATCACATTTTAGGATAGGATTAAAATGTCAATCATATTAACATGTCATGTCATTATTAATTATTATTTTATAAACCTAACAACCGGATACCAAACTATTTTATTACTAAATTGTGTTTCTCGTAAATTACAAGATAAGACATATTTTATGTAAGTTTTATTTATTATTTAACTAGCCTATACATTGTCTTTTTTAACATTTGTTTTAACCCTTCACTACAAAGGTAGAAAAAACTCCCTTAACTACAAAGGTGGGGTCTATTTTACCCCAAATTTTGATTAGATATATCTCAAAACATATTAAAAATTGAGATCTAAAATTTTGAGTATATATTTAAAAAATATTGGAGATAATAAATACAAAATCTTAGATTAATATTTACTTCCAAAAAAAAGTTAGACAAATTTTCCTAAAATTACTGAAATAAAATTTTCTTTTTCAGTACTTCCTTTAATTATTTTATTATCACTAAATAAAATTCAAAAAATTCAAATTTTATTAAATCAATGTTGAATAATGATAATTACATAAATTTTATAAAAAAATATCATATATCAAAAAAATAATATTAATCATCAAATATGTAAAATTATTAAAAAATAATAATGTAAATATATATCTTAATATTATTATTGAATATTTTTTTCTTAAGAAACTACAGAGGTGGTAGATACGTTTTTGGACTTCTCTCTATGGGAGGCTGACAATGCGTATTCTGATGCTAGCGCCGAAGTTGACGAGCTAAAAAAATATCTAGATCCGAAATTATGTGTTGATGACGATAATATTTTAAAATGGTGGAAAACAAACCATTATGAGTTTCCAAATTTAAGTATTTTAGCTCTTAAATTCCTGGCAATCCCTGCTTCGTCGGCTAGCAGTGAAAGGGCGTTTTCAGCTGCTGGTAGGGCCTTTGAGGAGAGAAGGACTCGTTTAAAGCCAGATAAACTGGACGCCTCTTTATTTATATATCATAATTATTCACTTTGTGATAATTTTGATAATGATATTGATGAGGTCAATATATAATATAATATGTTCATTATATTTTTTATATATTTATTAACTTTTACATCATATCTATATTCGCATAAATGATGCTTATTATATAATAATCGTTATAATTTTTAAATTCGCTTGTATATTAATCGTTTTATAATATTTTATACAAATTTTAAAAATGCAACTTAATATATATCTTGAATAGATTATGGCCGTCAAATAAACTTTTATTTAAGGTGGCTGAACTGAATAAATACACATAAATTTTTTTTTGGTTATTATAATATTAAAACTTAAATTGCAAAATTTTATTCGGGTCGGGCTCGGGTCGGGTTGGATTAAAAAATGTGTGCTCGGGCTCGGGTCGGGCTCGGACAAAAAAAATTTTAAATTCGGGCTCGGGTCGGGCTCGGGTTGCGAAAAAATTACTTTGCAGTTCTCTATAATACCTAGACTGACGATTCATTCATTAAAATGCATTTTTAAGCGTCGTTAAAAGCAAATCAGCTGGACCCGCCATTTTGGTAACACATATAGTAATTATTCTCATGTAAAATGCTACTAATAAATTGATAACTTGCTTCCTTATTATCTCGATAATCCGTTAATTCTTCAATAAAGTTTCCATCAGATATAGGAATAAATTAGGCTCGTTTAAAATTTTAATAATGATTACTGTAACCAAGATGGTGTCTCCAGCTGATTTGCATTGATGTACACTTTTAATGAATGAATCGTCAGTCTAGTTATTATATATGTCATTGGATTAAACATTAAAATAATATTCATAATTAAGAGATATGAAAAATGGTTGGAAGAAAAAACTCAGATGTTAAATTATTATGAATAATATTTTTGGGGAAATTTTCAAATAATTATCACCTGTTTCTATATTTCCCCCATATTAAAAGGCTCTAGTATTCGAATGGCATATAGAAAATGTAATTTGCCAATATGAAATTAGACAAAAAATGAAGAATATTTTATAATAAAATAAAATGAATTTTGATTATTAATCTTATTAAATTAGTCTGCAATGAGGGAGTTTTAACGACTGCCCCCATTTTTTTTAAAAAATGTTCGTTTTAAAATGGAAATTATTCGAAAGAACGATATAAATTATTTTTTTTAAATATTCTATGATCTTTGAAATGGGATAAGAATTATAAAATGTTTACATATTTTAAGTTCATCATAATGTGAGTTTCTGTTAGAAAATTATTTAAAAAAATTTGGTATTTTTAATGATAATTTTTCAATCGAGTGGCCTGAGTAATAATAATCCTTTATTTATATAATATTCAGCAAACCTTTAAATAAAAACATGACCAACCACCTCAATGATAGCATTTTAAATAGTTTAAGTGACCATATCTCTAGTTATTGAAAAGACCATTCTTTTGTGGTCCATGTTTATTAAATTCATTTATTCTTGATTATTATACATTATATACTAAATCATATTTAATTTGCCATTATTATATTTTAATATCATACACAATATACACTTGTTTTCTAATTTTCATCTAACTTGACTTGATTTAATTCAACTAGTACACTTCTATACAAATTTTTCTTTTATTTCTATTTATCAACCTAATATTAATTGATAATTAATTACATCCTATTGACCTTCATCATTACTTCCACCATACCTAACATCAATTTCATTATCACTTACACTTTTTTTCTATACTTAAACCGTATTGCCTCAAATACAGCGTTAAAGGCAACTTCCAATTTAAAATTTACGCTATAACTGTAAATGCTTTAATTTTTATGAGTAAATTTAATGCTATCTCAATTATTATAGTAATATATATTTTTTGTAAAGGTTCCTGGAGATGTTTATTTCTCCGGGTTCTCTTGATTCTAGTTATTATAAATAATTATGAAAGAACCTTTTAACTAATGATTTAAACCAGGGCTAAAAAAATTCTTAGAAATAATCTAAGTGTGGATAATATAAAATGCGAGGTTATATCCGAATTTATGGCGAAAACTATCATTTTTTAAATAGTTCTTGTATTTTCATATGAATTGGAATCTGACAATAAACAGAAAAGCCCGTAACAAAGCATTTAAGTCCATAAGTTAAAATAATTAAACATTGCAAAATATCATTTCAATAAATTTTATATTATGAGATTTTGAGCGTTTGCATATTATAAAATTTATATCGTTTACTTATTAGGCCATTTCCAGACAGAACGTTTTTTCAAAGCGGTTTTTGGGTAACGTTACCAGCAATCAATTTAATAAAAAAACAATCCTGATCCCCACTTTTTTAATCGTAAATAGAAAGCAGAACAGGTTTGATATTACTAATGATTAAATGGCGGTTTGGAAATGTTTTTTTTTAAAAAATATTATATTATATAAAAGGAATTATTTCAAGAATTTAACATTTTTTTTTGGAAATAAAAAATTGATTGCTGGCAACATTACCCAAAAACCGCTTTGAAAAACGTTCTGCCTGGAAATGGCCCTAGTTGTATTAATTCCGAAGAATTTTCATATTTTAAAGTAATAGGTATTTATTTAATACATTTAAAACTACCGCGTAAAATTTTGAGGTAGTTATTGTGAATTCCATGACTAATCAAAATGAGTTTCAATCTGACCCACTCAGATTTTTCTAAAATATTTGCTAGTTTGCATATACTTCAACTAAGCGCAGAACTAAATTTTTTTATTTTCCTTTAGAGAAAATTTAAATGGTCTGCACCAGAGTTAATCCAGTCCCTTCCTTTTTTTACTTAATGAATGAGTCTACCTAGGGGGTCAGTAATATTTTAATCGATACCAAATATCTACTTAAAGCCATTTTTTTAAAATTTGATTAACCAAATAGAATAAATGGAAATAGGGGGGGGGGGGGGTACAAGCTATAAATATTTGGCAAAATTTCAAACAAAATAATTCAATAGATAAGAAATTAGATTGACCAGTAAACCCCGATAGCTACTGATCCATGGTCTCACCTATTTAACTTACTAACTAATTATTTTTAATTTAACAGATATATTTTTGAGCGCTTAGTTAAATAGATTTGCCTTACCCATGAAAAAATTTCAATATGGTCATTAAATGTATTTTATTATATTACATTAAGAGACAATCTTCCCTAAGGAGTACACATTATTTATAAAATTTAATACATACAAAATACTATAATAAAGTCACTTTATATACATACAAATTATATATTTTTTTAAATTTAAATATTTACAATGTGTTTTTTATATATTTGAGGTAATAATTTTTTTCCCTCTCTTATATAAAGAGGATATGTATAAAAAATATAAATATGTCATATGGTTTAGTATGCTCGAATTTTACAGAAAATCCCTGGGAAATGGGATTCGATTCCTTAGTACACTCAAGACTGAGTGGGCGCGAAATTCTTTTATATTCGTTATTAATTTAAAACATGATTAAAAATGGGAAAAAATTATTATATCACAAAAACTGGGTAAATACGTGCTTATAAGTTATTTGATACTCGTAAACAAACATGACTCTCGAAGGATAATGCAACGATCGAATACAAGATGACGATATTATATCAAAAAAAATTATTATTATTAACGAATGTAGATGAAAGGTAGACATCTTTAGCAACGATACCGGGATTCGTAACTTGGGAAGGAGATGGTTCACTTGAAGGAGACGGCAAAGGGGATAGAGGTAATAAGGGTGGTTTTAATTTTTTGAGGTTTATTTCCAGTCTAGCCTTCTGTTCCTCCAAAAAGGCGAGGGTAGGAGAGGATGAAGGGGGTAATGGTTGATCGAGGAAAAGACCGTTATCTAGAATTAAAATAAATAAAGATAATATAATTTCGTTGTAATGGCGAGTATATAATATCATATTTACACCTATTATTTGATTGTAATGGTAAATATATGACAAAGATTCTCTAGGGCCTAGTGGAAATTAACGATCCACAAACCGAAAAAATTTTAAAAAAAGTTCTGATATTCAGAACAGGTATATGGAGCGGTTTGAACATAGACTGTGACATTTACTACTCAAACCATATAATGTGCCTTCCACAAAGTCAATCTAAGATGTTAGATAAATCTTACCAAAAAAATAAGATTCTTAAAATTTAGCCTTCATATCTGGCGAAGATTTTATTGGAGGTCTTTAGGTTCACTTATTGTAGACATTTGGTTACCAGATTTTAATAATAATTATTTTTGTTTTTTTTATATAAAAATGTATTTTATTCGATTTTTTTTAGCCGGGGTGGCCTAATGGGTTAGATGTATGCTTGGAAACAGAAGGACGCAGGTTCAATCCTGGTAAGGAACTAAAAAATTTCGGGTTTTTCTTCGATGAAGTATGGCTTTAGACATATGATATGATAAATTTCTGAGCTGAGAAATGCCACCCCGGACACCGACAGGCTTGGACAACCGGGTGCTAGATTACTTGTCCAATAAACCAAAAAAGACGGCCAGCTGAACTCGTGGGTCAGATGATAACGATTTCTTGCCCAGCGCTAGGATTATGGTGACCTCGGGGGCCGTTCAAGCTCAATGTCTACCAAGTTACAATGGACTTAATAACGATACTCCAATGGGAGATCCAGCGGGATTGATACCAGTGGGAGATCAGGATTGGGATATCTGTCGATTTTAACTCCGTGTTGGGAATACTCAGGTGGGATATCTGGTCGATACTGATTTGATACACCGGTGGGAGATCAAGATACTTTAGCCTCGAAAATGATTCACCGGTGATCGATACAAATGAAATCGATCAGAAATACAAAGATATAATAGATAGCATGAGCAATAATATAATATATAAGTGTAAAAAAAATTCGATTTTTTTAAAGTGTATTTGTATTTAATTTAGTACATTTATTCTAAAATTTGCCCAACCCTGCATATAGGTTGGTCTCTAGGTCGAACTATATTCCTAGATTTGGTTAAAGTTTGTAAATAATTGATAATAGCCTCAAATAATCAATGAATAATGTTTGATGTTTGTATCGCGGAACTATTATATATTTAACAAGATTATAATTGCAATCATATATTACGAATAAACGATTCATCAAGAAGATTTATAATTAACAAAGTTACATTAACGAGTATTACGACATTTCCATATTTATCCTTTTTCAACCAGCCCTTCACTATTTCCACCATACGTTTCGCCTGTGCATTAGACCTAGGATAATTTGACGGCGACATTATATGCCTTATTCCCTATCACAAAACTCTTTGAAACTCTTACCTTGAAAAGCAGGACCTCCATCAGAAACGTTTCAATTATCCCATAACTTCCACAAAAATCTTTAATAACTATTTTAGTCGTCAACTCCGTCACATTATGGAAATCTATCCATTTGCTATACGCATATTAAAAAATAAAATTTCCTATCCAACTCAAAAAAATCCACATGTGCCCTCTCACCAGCCCTCTGCGCTTTTTCCCACCTATAAACGGCACAGCCTTCCACTCATTACAAGTTTCACACTTCTGCACTATCCCTACAATATCTGCATTAATACTTGGCCACCATATGTACTCCCTCGCATTTTTCTTCATCTTACCTTACTCACCCCCTGATGACCTGCATGAAACATTTCCAACACCAACTCCCTCAAAGACTCTGGTATTACCATCCGATATCCTCGTGTTACATTCCCATCCACAACTCTTCCTTCAACAGCTCAAACCTTTTATCTCTTATATCCCATTCACTTTCTCCCTTTTAAACTGCTTATCACTCTACCTAATTCGATGTCCTGCTTCGTTGCCTCGACTAACTCACCCCACTTCACAAAATCTTTCGCTCTCTTTACCCCTATTACATTTATCCTTTCCTGTCTACAGTCTCCCTCTTCCATTTGTTCCCCCACACATAGTCTAGACATAACATCAGGCATACAATTCTCCTTCCCTTTCCTATACTTTAATTCCATGTTAAATGAACCAACTAATAACAACCATTGCTGCATTAGTTCCGATAACAACAATTCCTTGTTGTCCTTCTTAATTAACCCCACCAACGGCTTATGATCAGTGTAATCTACAAAACTTCTACCTACAAATATTCCCTACATTTTACTAATTCCACTTTTAGCATGCCTTTTTCTCGATGACTGAATAATTCCTTTCCGCTTTACTTAGAGCTCTTGAAAAATACAATATCGGCCGTTCCCTCCACTCCATTATATGTAACAATCCCCCTCCAACCCTCTCACTAGAAGCAGCCGCTGTTAACACTACCTCATACTCTTCATTAAAACTCACCAATATAGAACTCTTACCAATTTCTCGTTTCAAATCCTGAAAACTCCTGTCCTTTCTATCCGCCTATTCAAATTTACTATTCTTCTTGAGTAACTCATACAATGGCACTGCCATACCTGCAAAATCTTCTATAAACCGATGGTGATAATTAATCATTCCTAGGAATGACTGCAATTCCAACTTATTCTTCGGACCCGCATCTTAATTATACTATCAATATTCTTATTAATAGGCCCAATCTCATATTCTCTTATATTATGCCCTAAATATTCTTTCCTGCACTCCGAATATACTTTTCTTTACATTTGCTCTTAACCCTTCTCCAAAATTCTTGCTAAAACTGTCCTCACCTTTTATGCTCTTCCTTTGTTCTGCCCACTATCAGCACATCGTCTAAATAATAAAATACCCCTTGGATTCTAGCAAATACTTCCGACATTGCCTTTTGAAATACCACCGAAAGGTAATAGCAAAAAATTAAATTTAAAAAAAAGAAATGAATAGTTTAGAGAGGTATTGGCAGATGGCTGGATCAGATGGTTATTTGGTATGGTATGAAGTATGAACAAATGAAAGGAATATATGGAAGCTGATTGGAATGGGCATATGGAGTTGGATGAATTAGTCATGATGTTTTATCTTTGTTTAATGATAATGATGAGATTAATAAAGGGGGAACGTGAAGATTGGGAGTTAAGTCAATCAATCAATAATGTTTGATGTTTTAATATGTATCGCGGAACTATGATATATTTAACAAAATTGTACTACTTTTATTAGGTATTAATTTTAATAAATGTAGATTTCGATGATTTAAATGTAATTTTGATTTATTTTTAATTGAAATTAATGTAATTTGAATTATTGATGAAAATTAATTGTATTGATATTTGTTCGATTATTCTTTTTGTAATTTTTGTTAGTAATTGTCTTATATAGATGTTGATGGTAATGAGGGAAAATGGAAGGAATGTATGCTTGCATAAATAATTTAATATTAATGAGTGATTGAAAAAATATATATATTCTTAAACAATTTATATGGTGGTAATAGTGTTGTTAAATGGCTCGTTTTGAGCCGATTTTTTGAAAAGGCATACTCAATATGTTATCGAGAATAATATAACTCAAGCCTGAAGATTTGGCTTGCAGAAGGAACTTAAGTTAGGACATCTATTAGCAAAATCTCAAGGCTTAGGCTAAATTGAGTTAACCGTTCTTAAAAATCGGCTCAAAATGAGCCGTTTAACAACACTAGGTGGCGATTAGAATATGATGTTTTTAAATATTTTTTTAGAATGAATGTAGCAGTTAAATGATTATATATTTATGTATAGTTTTTGAAGGCAATATGTATAAAATAATTGATATTGGTATTGCAAAAATGTTGTATTGTTTAAAAAAAAAGAAGAAAAAATTAAAAAAGAAAAGATAAAAAAAAGAGGTAAAAAGAAAGGAAAGATAAAAAAAAATTAGTGAAATTTTTTAAAAATTAGAGATATATTCTAATGTCAGATGGATGGGGGTGAATCAAAAGGACAAATGAGATGGATTGGTGAAATGGGGCAAAATGTAATGATCAAATGAAATGTGAGTGGGGATAGTGAAAATGGGGCAAGATGGGCAAATTGTTAGATGGATGAAGATTGTCAATTGGTAAATGGATGATGAGTAATGAGAATGATACAAATGAAATATGATAGAGAAAGTTGCAAGTGGCAAGAGGCAATGATATAAGAAAGTAATTAGGTGGTTGATGTGGCAAATGAAATGTGATTGGGAAGGTTGAAATGGGGTAAGATGGAATGGTCAATTGAAAGAGGAATGATACAATGAGAATGATACAAATGGATAATGAATGGTCAAATGGATAGTAGAGAACAAATAGATATGAATGGTCAAATGGATAGATGTAGGGAACAAATGGATGATGAATGGTCAATGTATAAAATGAATGATTAAATGGATGGATATAGATAACAATTTTATGTGCAAATGATATGATGAATGGTCAAATGGGATGATAGGATTAACAGATAATGTTTGATGTTTTTATATGTATCACGGAACTATTATATATTAAATATTTAACAAGAATAATTGCAGATCATATATTAAGAATAAACGAATTATCAAAAAGATTTATAATTGACAACGTTACATTAACGAGTGTTTCGACATATAAAATTTCAGCTGTATGTCCAAATAGAGGTACCTACTTATTAATCTTTTATCTAGATTTATATAATAAAATATTTTAATTATGAATATCAACAGAGTTGTTAAGGAGCGGCGCTACATATGAGGAGCGGGAGTAGCTCCTTTTAAGGCTGGAGCGGAAGAGTGCCGCTCCACCACTCCTTTAAATTTAATATATAAATTATATTATTTTTTAAATATTAATAATATTTATTTTATCTTATTTAAATTAATTCATTATTAAATGTTGAGCCGAGTTTTATATTGATTTATCATCTAATCATTTTAAACATTAAACATCAGTTTTTCCTTTTTATATTGAAAATTTTTTGAAAAATCTTGTAAGTCATATTAATATACATTTTATAGATATATAATAAAAAATAGTTTTAGATATTATGGATTTAGAGATCATAGAAGAAGAAACCGAATTTCCATTTCCACCATATAAAAAATATTTCAAGCTTATAGATGATACAGATGATAAAGTCAACTTAAAGGCGAAATGCCTATTATGTATTAACAGCAAAAGGATATCTTTCTCTAAAATCTCAAGCTTTAATTTAAAAAAACATTTAAAAGTAAAATCAATATTTGTTTATTTTGTAATAATTTTTTTAAAATGGTTTTAATTATTTTTGGGTAATTCATTATATTAGTTGAGCTTGGGTTGTCAGATATGATGCTTTTTTATATTTTAATATTTATTTTAATTTTCTCATTACTTGTTCAACCTCCTTTTTATATATTTTTTTTAAATTGAATTGTAACATCCAAATTAAAAATATACATTTTATTATGGTAAAATTTATATTTTATTTAATCTTAATTTGATTTTTTCTTATTTTATTTTGATCAATAAACTTAGAAAATAATTATTTATTTTTATTTTATATTAATAAAATAAGTAAAACAAAATAATAAAAAAATTTACAAAAATAAAAAAAAATAAAGTAAAAAGATATTTACTGCTCATTAAATATTTGTCAATTTCTTATTTAAAAAATCTACCTTAATAATTTGATGTTTTAGATTATCAGTTAAAAATAAAGTTGATTTTTATAAAATAAATTTTAATTTAATTTATAAATTTATATTTAGAGAGTACATGTTAATCAATATTCAAAAATTGAAAATCATATCAATAGTTATAATAAAAAAGATATTAGCCAAAATATAAAGTCTTCTGAGAAAAAACAGTCAATAATACTCTTTAATAAATTTACGTTCTTGGGAGTTAAAACGTATAAGCCCATGGTTATCACACAACTCATCAAGGTCCTTTTGTTTTTCATCTAATATTTTATCTAGCAAAACTATAGACTCATAAAATTAAATAATTTATTTATATGATCTAATATAGATACCAAACACAACTTATTTATAAAACGCTTGTTTTAGGAATAGATAGCCATGGGATGTAAGAGCCTTAATGGACATCGGGAAAAAATTAGATATAGTAATTAAAAACAAGATGGCCGAAATTTGTACAAAATAAATTAACGTGCCAGGCCTTACTTTAAAACTATATCTATTCCCAAAAATAATAGTTCATATAAGGTCCGGATTAGTTCAAGCATTTAAGATATTAAGAACAGAGTAAGGTAAACAGGTTCAATAGTTGTCTCAATATATACCATAGATTCACACAGAATATGCTCTTAATATATACCATAGATTCACACGGATATGCTATCATAATGATTACCACGTGCAATGTGATCTTCTTTCTCGTGTTTTGTTACTGCACTATGTGTTTCATTTTCTTTTACGTCCTTTTTGCTATCGGGGTCACTGCTAGAATTTTTCCGCATTTTTTTGGCCTTTTTATCGCGATAGTGATCACAGTATTTGCAAGTATCTAAAGAGGCTCCTTCACCTTTATCGTCCAGGTCTGATTCTTTCAGATTGTCGTGAGGTCTGGAATGGTTATGGTGATGCCTTTTAAGTGATAAAAGGATAGATATAGTAGCACAAAAACGATTAATTCTAACAAATGATAAAATATTGTTTAAGTTAATTTAAATCATTTAATAAAATTAATACTTGTGCTTCTCTCTACAATGTTTGTGAGATTTGTTTTGGGAGGATGAATGCCGACCAGTGTTTATGGCCTCATCTGATGAGTAATTCGATTTCTTCTTACTTTCCATTTCATGGTTATGCTGGGATTTATTTGATGATTTTGATGAAGGGCCATTTTGTTGACCAAAAAGCATATGGTTCTGTATATCGTTGAGAGTTTGGCCCAGCAAATCGACTGCTGTGGAACTGGTATTGCCGCTATTGGTGTCCGGGTGTTTAGGAATTGGCACGTTATTTTGATTAGACAAGTTGAGTAATGAGCTATTTTTGGTTTGTTCCAAAATTGTATTGATGGACTTAGCGGGTAAAGCTAATTCGTTTTTGGATTTGCACGTTATGTTGAACTCGAATGCAGATGATATTTCTCCTTCTTCTAGGCTAAGGCTAGCAGAGAATAGGTTAGAATCATCATGGGCACTGAGGGTCTCACGTGCCAAAACTTTTTTTAAAAAATGTTAATATGATATATAAAAATAATTATATATAAGTTTGTTTGACCCAACTTTAAGATGGACTGGACCTGTCCAGACTCTTATTGAATGAAGGCTTATATAATCTATGATTGTAATTATTTTTGGCAGGACAACCCTATTTATCTATTTTTAAATTTTTTTATATACCAAGTTTGGTTTAAAAAGTCGGTCTGACTCAAAATTATTTTTTTTAGGTTACCACTTTTTACAGGTCAGATTAGGGTCTGGCCATCTAAAAATGTTTTAGTAATATGTCATTGTTAGAACAAATAATTTTAAAGTTTAATATATGTAATTTATATACAAAAAAAATCAATCTCTCTTACGTTGATAATGAGAAAACAGTTTTGCAAATAAAAATAATTTATGTATTTATTAAAATATATATATTATTTATCTTTTTTCAAACTTTTAAACATGGCGGCATCATTTATCTTGTTTTTCATAGTGGGATTGTGAATATCTTCTTCAACTAGATCAGTTTTAGATTTCTTCTCAGTCGATTCATCCTTTTAATTTTGTATATTTTAAAAACAATTATTTAGATTGGCATTTTAATATCTAAAAAATAATAATTTAAAATGTGATATGAGTAGTGTTGCTAATTGGTTGGCTGCATAAAACCCAGACCTGGGGCTAAAAATCGACTAAACCATCTCTGAGCATGACCAGGCACAGACCATGAGCAAAAACCTATATATTTTTAATTGAAACTCAGGTAAGTATATATGTTCAATATATATCAATGGAGAGCTAATAAAATGATCTATTCATTAGGACAAGCGTTTTTTCGCAGGCTAATCTAGGGGTTGGGAGGGGGGTCAGGAATATTATACTCAAAATATTAATATGGTGCCAAATAAAAGGTATATTTTATTATATTTTGATTGGAATTATTATTCCAAGTGAATTAGTTTAGGTTTTTAGATTGATTGTTCTAATGAATAGACCCTATACATACTTTCCTAAATTCAACAAAAAACAACTAAAAATAAAATGGGGTTTTGTGCAGGGTATGTGCTCAGAGCAGGCCTGCCCATCAAATTGGGTCGTAAATTTTATGACCAAGCGAATTAACAACACTAGATATGAGCCTAGGCCTACCTTTTTGAATAATTTCATCTTCAGCTTATGAGGACTTTTCGCGTATATATTCATGAACTCCTCCATCGCAGCTTAAAATTATGATATTTTAAAAATAAAATGAATTCGACCTAATGGCATTTTAAGTATAAAGCATGGATATATAAAAAAATATAGCTTATTTATTGCAATGACAAGCTAGGATTAGGGCATGCAAATTTAATTTAACCTTTCTATGTTTCATTGTTAAAGAAAGGCAGGGAAAGATATTATGAATTCAATAAAAAAAAATTTCATCAGAATTCTACTAATAAAGCACCATATTACTAATTTAAATGTTGGCTGATAATATTATTAAACAAAAATTCCATATTGATTGATATTCTCTATATATCATTTATTATTCCTATTATCGGCCATCTTTAAAAAAAATTAAATATTTACTTTGTATAATAAGTAAGGTAACGTCTTTGTCTATGTACCAGAACCATTCCTTGCCCTCTGTGGAGCGAGGGATCTAATTCCATTGAATTATTAACAAAAAAAATTTTGTTAAATTTTCTGTTTTTAAAATAATATCCTTCCGCCATCTCTTTTCGGTTCTTTACATTTTTTTTATACCACGTACATCACCCAATATTATCCTCCCTCAATAATATAATAAAAATTTCTTTGAAATTTTTTTAAAGATTTTAACTTATAGACTTAATTTGATAGATAAGATTAGTACTTTATTTTTTTTTTAAATTATAAAATGCAGGAGATCTTTATAATAATAAGCCTAAGCCTCTATAAGACCTCAACTGCATTTAGTGTTCAGATCTATAAGTCTTTCTTTTCAGAAAGTGTCTTTAATTTTTTTCTTTTCTTTTTTTTAATATAGAGAAATGTGACTTAAAGGGGGGTGAAATGGATATTTAGGTGAGAGCAGCTAAGAAATAAAAAATAAAATAAAGATTTAGAATATTTTTTTTAATAAACTTAAATGTTCATAAAAATTTAATATGTATGGGATCTTAATGCATTAATAATGGACCCTCATGGGAAAGTGTCTTAATAAATAACAAAAATCATTTTATAATTTAAAAAGATTATATAAAATGATATTTACAACTGGGTACCAAAAAAGTGTTCAGATTATAGAGAGAATTTTTTGGGAAAGTTAGCTTGCCCAAAGCCCTGCCTAAGGTCGTCAAGTGATGTCTAAAATTTAAAGGAAATCAAGCCAGGCTCAAGCTTAAATTTTTTTTAAAGGTAAAGTAAATTATTTTCGCCCAGGCCCGGCTTTTTAATTAAAAAAAAATATCAGGCCCAGCTTGGATTAATCTATATTATATTCATTTGTGATTTTTATAGCCAATAATGGCGATTTCAAATATTTGGTTTTAAAATATACGACCTGGCCTATTTTTTTAAAAAAAATTTCAGGCGGGCCCGAGTATATTTAAAAAAATTAAAATATGGCCCAGACCATGTAGGTCTATGATAAATAGAAGACATATTAGGCATTATAATGAAATAAAATAATTTATTTGATTTTTAAGAATTCATTTTATTTATTGCATTTTAGAAAATAACATTAATTAAAATCGAATTAAATTCATAATATTAATATATATCATATTTTTTCACTTGCAGATATTTTTTGACCTTTTCTCTATGGCCTAAAAAACACATAAAATTGTATTGTGTGCTTGCATTTATAAATTCTACCCAGATCTATCCTCTCATTTGTCCACTGTGTATTGATTAAATAAAAATTTCATTCAAGGCTATAATTATAAGCTGGTAGAAAAAAAAATGAAACTTGCTATAATTATTAGTTCACTAAAGGATTGAAATATTAGAAAAATATTTGACCAATTTTTGGTGAAATTGAAGAATTTTAATTTTTCAAAAAATCTATACTTTTCTCAATATGACCACACCTGGGAGCATATTTAATTTCCATCTATTGGAAGCATTCCAATTCTTCTAGACGTTCCAGAGATCTAAATATTTAAAGCAATGTCTATATATACATTTAATAAATTGTCTTTCATTGCAATTGGATTTTTTACCCATTTTATATATTTATCTGAGTTTTTGTTAGATACTAGAAACGATTAAGACTTAAGAGTTATATTTTATATAAAGTGTAAATAAAAGTATAAGGAGAATAAAATTTTTTTGTCTAAAAATTAAAAAAATTTAAATAAATAATATTAACATGATAAAAAAAATTAATTTTTAAAAAGAAGACAAATTAAACTAGATACCAGGACATATTTTTAGACATCTCAAAAGAGGACGTCTGGTAACCCTGGGTATGGCTCAAAAAAATATTTTAAAAAAGTAATACATAAGTTCTTTTCTAATTTATTTTTTTTTAAATTATAATATCAGTTCTATTTTAATCTTTAAAAAACTGTTTAAATATTTTTGCAAGTAAACTTTTAGAATTATAGAGAAGTGTATTGTAAAAATTTGATCACTAAAACTTATAAATAATTCACCTAGCTTATTTTATTATTATCAGAGACCTGCAAGCCCAACCCTAAGCCCAGATACACGTATGTTAAATTTATGTGAATATCCTTGACCGGGCCAGGCCTAAAAATTTGTATTTTAAATAAAAGAGCTATGATATATTTTTTTACAAAAATACCGGGGCTGGCCATGTATTTTAAATCGCCATTATTAGCTATAAAATCAAAAAAAATGTAATATATTTTTTAAAAAAATCCAGTCTGGGCACAAATATGTAAACCATGGGCTGGGTCAATATATTTTTTAAATAAAAATCTGGGCCAGGCCGAATTTTCTAAAAAAATTTAAGTCGGGCCATGCAAATGGTACCTCTGTAGTAGTGATGTTAAAACTAGTTATTTTGGCTAAAAAATAATTGTAACTAGTTATATTTTTAAAATTATAATTAGTAACTGCAACTAGTTAAAAATTTTGAAATGTAACTGCCAAAAGTAACTAGTTACTTTTAAAGATATATTCAAATAATTAATTTTATTATTAATATGTTGTGATAAATTAATTTTAAATTAAATTTATTTTTTAAATTAAATTTATTAATTTAAAATTTTGTGAAAATGTCTGATTGTTCCCAACAATAACAAATACTTATATGTATGGCAGATGTGCAGGGATTAAAATATTGTCAACCTCTAAAGGATACTATATTAGCTAGTATTGAAAAAAGGTAACTAAAATCAAATAATTATTTATAAATTAATAATATCATGTTATAGGTTTAATAATCTTTATGATAATGACAACATCATTGCTGCAATTCTTCACCCTTTATTTAAAACTGACTGGCCTTGGATTAGGCAAGAAATGAATAAAGCAAAAAAGGAGGAAATTTTAAATTTAAATAACTTAATACCTTAAAGTAAATCCCAGACAAATGAATCATGCTCAAAACCAACATCACTAGATGTAGTTGTATTTTTTGACCTAAAGCGCCAAAATATTCTGGATAATGAACTTATAGAAAACTTTATCAAATCTAATAACAACACTTTTTCTTTATATAACAATTTTCCAAAATTAAAATTACTCTTTATTAAATATAATGTTGTTCTAGCATCAAGTGCTCCCGTAGAGCGCTTATTCAGTCTAGGTAAGCTCATTTTTGGAGATAAAGGAGCACGTCTCCTAGATAATAACTTTGAAATTAATTTGTTGTTAAAAGCAAATAAACATTTATTAGATTCTAATTTTTATGAAAAATAAATGTTTCTTTTTCAATGCAAATATATATTTTTATATTCGATGTAAATATTCAATATTGCGATATTTTTTTATATAAATAAAATGTATATTATTTTAAATAACTAATTATACTTTGTTTATCCTAATTTTTTTTATATTAAATAAATGCATTCAATAAATAAATAATGTGCATATGAAGGATGTATAAAGTAAGTAACTAGTTACTTTTGAAAATAACTGTAACTAATAACTAGTTACTTTTGTAAAAATGTATCTAGTAACTGTAACTATTTATGTTTCAAAAGTTAACATCACTACTCTGTAGGGTTTATATTATTATTGCACATACTATTTTATAAATAACATGTATTTATCAACAAAATATAATTTCCTTAAAAGACATCATTGAGCCAATGCCAAGATTCATTTCTTCTGTAAAATTATAGAAAGAACAAATTCTACCATGTAGGAAGAACGACACCATTAAATAGCAATATATAAAATAAATGATTTAAAAATAGTTATTCATACTTTTCTATTAAAATTGATTGTTAAATTTTTTTTAAATGATTTAGGGTTTATATTATTATTGCACATACTATTTTATAAATAACATGTATTTATCAACTAAAATATAATTTCCTTAAAAGACATCATTGAGCCAATGCCAAGATTCATTTCTTCTGTAAAATTATAGAAAGAACAAATTCTACCATGTAGGAAGGTCGAACACCATTAAATAGCAATATATAAAATAAATGATTTAAAAATAGTTATTCATACTTTTCTATTAAAATTGATTGTTAAATTTTTTTTAAAATGATTTAAGAATGAAAAGGTAAATCAGTTAAGAAATATATTAAATATATGGTAGGTGACACTATTTTTTAACAGTTTGGGTTATTAGAAATAATAGTGGCAATGGATTCATAATTGGATTTAATTTAAAATTTAAGCCATACATAGGTTAGGAACTAAATTAAGAAATTGGGTTAGACCTCATTTATAAAAAACATAACTTGTTCAAGTGGTGCAATATTCAATGTCATTATTTATAAAAATAAAGCCAATGAGTACGTATAATTCATAAGTATAAAGCCAAACAATGAAAATGCTATTATAAAATTTGAAAAATGTTGCTATGTATATTTCAAATATTAACACTTGTGAGGAATAAGGTGCATAGCATTATATACCATACCAATAGAAAAAATTGCATTTACTATAAATAAGTCTTTAAGCAAGGCTCGGGCAAAAAAAAACTAATATTGGAGACCAATCAGATTTTCACCTAGCACAAAATCATATGAAAAATTATGATAATCAAAGTGGTATCTTAAAGGAAATAAAGAAAAAAAATGGCCCCTTCTGGACCCAAAGATAAAATTAAAGTGTAATTTACCTCCCAGTTCGACCATTTGCAAGCAATGTAAATGCAAACACATGCTACAACTGATGGTTTATATTGCAGGCATAATAAAGTTAGGTGTAAACTGTTGGTGGCCATTATGTAGCTTACTTGAGCTAAATCTTTGGGCGCTCTTATTAATTGGCAACATTTTACCACATGAGAATGGGGATGATCAATTGTTATATCAAAACCTTAAGTGGAAAAATAAAATTATTACAATTTATGATATAATTAGGCCTATTATTGAACCTTCTATAAATAATATCACATTAATTAGTTCTATTATATTGTAATAAAGATTAAATCAATTAAATTTCAAACAATATTATATAAATTTCAAGTCATTATATTATAATCCTGAGATTAAAATTAAAATAAATGTAAAAACTTAAATTTTGTTTAATCAATGAAAATATTAACTATTGAAAGAAATAGATGGCATATAAAATATATTATTCATATTATAAAGCTTCTAATAAAATAATGTAACTTCACTATTATTTTATATTAAATTTGCACTTTAATTTATATTAATAACATATTGTATTTAATATTAATCACATGCATAGTAAACCTAATGTTTGCAACATAATGCTTTCATTGGTAATCAGCTCAGTGGCCAAATTTTGATAGAGATCACAATTAACATCAATAGGTTGAGTTTTCTCTTTAAATTGACAGGCATATAAAACTTTCACAACATGATCAACTTTTCTAAATTGTTCTTCAACTTTGGCTGCAAGGAACAAAGAACAAGCAGCTATACACTTTTTTTAAAAAAAATAAATACCAAATTTATTCATATTAATCAAGGTATATCTGCCTGTTTAATTTAAGATTCACTTCTTAGCAAATTTTTAAATAATGATAATTATTATAAAATATACTATATATAAAAGTTTAAAATTTTATTACATGTCTTGAGAAGAGTGTAAATGAATGCAGCATATAGAATCGATGCATGTACACTATTGCAGTACTAATGCACAATTGATTCCTATAAAAACATATTTAACCGCATATTAGATTGGAAGTTAAATATAATTTTATGCTTTTAATATAAATTATTAAAGCCTAATTATATTTATATATAATTATCATACACTGATAATTTTTGACCCATATCTTGAATCACATTAGCGCATTGTTGCCTATACATTAGTTCTTTTTCATAAGATAAACCGGCTATAATTGATGGTGTTTTATTTAGTTCCTCTTTGGTGAAATACCATCTTTCATCTGGCAGTTTGGCCGCCATGTTTGTAGTAAAAAGCAAACTAAATAAAAATTAAATATATTTTTGTTACTTATATATTAATATTAAAAATTTATTATTATAATAATTTGTATAAAAAGCGAGGATAACATATAAAGTTTTTTATTAACTATAGTATCGTTCTGATAATAATCATAACCAATTCAAGGGATCTCTAACTTAAATTTTTTTAATTGGGTGGAATGTATTTAAAGTTAAACAAGTATGTAGTATTAAAGTTTATTAATATGGGGTTATAGCATGCTATTTATACATTATACATTATTATATTCCATAATTAGATATGGTTATAATATATATATATATATGGTGATTTCCATATCAAATCGACAAAAAAAAAAGTCGATTCTCAACACGATCCCCTTTCTTAAATTCTGCATAATGGTAGGAACTATAACTAATAAAAAAATAAAATTTTACCTAACACTGCTTACCCGCTGAGATATTGGCATTTAAAGAACGAAATACATTTTTGACAAAATGTACCTCATTTATTTTCAAATATCTCAAGAAATATTAAATTTTTTTATATAGCTTGATACAGTTCTTTAATAGGACATAAAAATAAATATAAAAGAAATCTGATTAATATCAAAAACCGGATTATAAAACCGGAAAAAGCCATTATTTTTTTTCAATTTTTTTTTTTGGTAGATAGATATCACACTGATTTATATTTGAAAAATCATAGATAGGTATGAACATGGCTTTAGGAGTTATGACTCTTTATATGGCTAAAATTGGACAAATTGAATATAAATGTCATCATTTTTAAATTTAATGAATAGTTATGAAATAATGTTTATTTAAAAATTGTGTCTAAATGATAGGCCCTTATTTTTTTTTTATCTTTAACAAAATTTTTGATAGGTGGCTGGGATAATATGCTTTGTTTACACTTTAATTAAAATTTGTCCTGAAATTACTTGACAAAATAATTCTAAACATATTTATAACTTTATTTGCAATTACATAATTTCATATAATAAAATCAAAAATTTATATATAAAATATATTAAATCATCTAAAGAATTTGAATAAATTTTAGTTTTTGTTTTCGCCTAGGGAACTAAAAGCATATAAATTTTGTGTCCCAGCTATTCTCTTTGCTCTCAAAATCTGCTTTCAAGATGATTTTAAATGTTAATATATTCATTATTGCTCAGAATATATAATTAATCTAGTGGATATTTTCTTGCATAGTTAAATAAATCCATTGTTATGTTCATGGGCGTTACAAGCTTGCTCGAGCTGCTAACCGTTTAGTAACGCCCCTAAACTGTTATAGGGTTTTTACTATGTGGGGTTTTAAAAAATGTCACATCCTGTATCCCAAAATCATTTTCATGATTGTAGAGATTAATGAAGTCTTTCTTATTATTTTATTGGGTTACTGCCTCATCAGAAAAATAATGAAATTTTTGCTACTCTATCAAATCTTTCTTTCAAGAATAGGATCAATTTTTGTTTGAAGTAAATAAAACGAACACGTACAATTTAAACAATCTGATATCCCGCTATTACCTGTTTTTTTATGTTGTCCTTATAGTAATAAATCTAAAAGGGTGGATAGTCGCCTGATTATTGGTCCAATTAAATCCTTGTGCATGGTCCTGCACTACCAATATTTAGTTTTCTAAACAACATTGAAATTGGATTTTAAAAAGTTTCGAATTAATGTTTATTGTAAAGCTATAAACGAATGAGGAATCAAATTGTTTAATTTTTAAATTAAATAATCTACAAATTCGTCGGCGAATTTTGTCAGTGTAGGTTTGATCAACTGGTATCTATTGTTTGAATGTTCTTTCTTTTATTTTTGAAGATACGGGGCAAAATTTATTTGAATTTTAATTTTGGTAGATTATTTTATGCTAAATAAAATATTCATATTTCGTTAAGTAATTTCGAGACATAATTTAACTAAAGTATTAAATAAAGCACATTATCCAATCCACCTCTCAAAAATTTTATTAAAGTTAAAAAAGTAAGGGCCTATCATTTATTATTTTTAAATAAACATTATTTCATAACTATTCATAAAATTTATATATGATGAAATTTATGTTAAATTTGATCAATTTTAGGAATATAAAGAATCATAACTCTTAGAGCCATGTTCATCCCAGTCTATGATTTTGTACATATATAAACCAGTGTGATATCTATATATAGAAAAAATTTTTGAAAAAATTACCTTGCTATTTCTGGTTTTATATATCCGATTTTCGACATTAATCTTATTTCTATTATATTTGTTTTCATGTCATATTAAAGAACTATCATCAAGCTTCGTAATAAATTTAAATTATTTCTCTAACATAATTATTTTATGAGATATTTGAAAATAAATGAGGTGCATTTTGTCAAAAACGTACTATTTTCCGTGCTTTAAATGCCCATATTTTAGCTGATAAACAGTGTTGGAAAGGTAAAATTTCATTTTTCTTAGTTATAGTATATTATATACCATCAATATGCATAATTAAGAAAAATTGATTGAAAGGGGTCGGGTTGAAACCTTGGTTGATTTGATATTGAATTCCCCATATTTGTGATTAATATAATAATGAGTGAGGTTAACTACCTAACACTCATAGCATCAATTATAATTATACCGCAATCGATTCCATATGATTAACAACCTTGTGACTGTATATATTAAAGAATGAATAAACCTGTGCATGTAAAGTTTAGTATAAGCGGATTAGTTTATTGGCGCATTCTAAGGAGTCTAGTATTCTAATTAAAAACAAGTAAGAAAATAGTTTATTAATTTTTAAAAATTAGGTCTCAAGCCAAAATCAATACTGTCATAAATATAGATAAGAACAAAAAATTCCTGGTAAATAGGCAAAAAGTTGGGCAGTACCGCGAATACTTGTATCTAACATACAACAAGGTACAATATCTTTTTACCCAAGTCGCTATCTCCTCCGAAACCCCGATGTGCCCTTCAAATTCAATCTGTGTTCTAGCGAGGCGCGAAATGTCACTAAAGAAAGATACAATGGGATCGTTTTTAGCTAAACAGTTTTTGACGATAAGTCGGTGTTGATATGTAATTGTGCAGATTTCAAGGTTAGTTTAAATTCCTATCTATAATATGATCATCACGTTATTCCAACGTTGGATGACTTAAAGTTTCAGGGGGAAGGGGGGGGGGGGATTTACAGTGATTGATTTAAAGGACCCCGGACCCCAAGCTACAAATAGCCATGGAGGAGAGTCTCAAGAATATATGGTATCGACGTATAAGGAAATTTTCGATGAAAGATGCCTTTTAAGCTTTAGTGCGCCAATTATTTTTCAACGTTTCATGGACAATGTTTTGAAAGACGATGACTGAAGTGTATCTGGACGATGTAACTATCTCCTACAAAAATGACGCAGAACATCTGGCTAATCTAAACATAGTACTCGATTGGATGCAGGAGGCAAGTCTCAAAGCCAAATTTGAGTTCAATTTTAATAGAATTCTGTTTTATTTTTAGGTATAGCTATCGACCAGAATGGGATATATTCAAGCAAGAAAAATATAAAAGCAATCCAAGCCGCGCATAATTCCAAGAATGTTCATCAGTTACATTCATTTCTTGGTCTTGTCACTTATCATAAACAGTTCATTCCTAATCTTAATAGTGAGACAGCAGTTTTACACCGATTGTCTGGCGTAAAGGTACCATGGTGTTGGATAAGTTGAACAGGAGGTTTTCGACAAAATTAATCACTGCTATCAGCTGAAAAAACGTTAACGCGGTACAATACACAATTGCCGTTGATTTTGGAGTGTGATGCTTCAGATACAGAGCTTGCACCAGTCTTACTTCAGTAAGTTTTACAAAACCAGGAAAAAATAACGCAGCGTCTCGGTCGTTGTTGCAATATGAAAAACAGTATGCTTCAATTGATAAGGAAGCGAGAACTCTGCTGTTGGAAATTGAAAAATTCTATAATAATTTTTACGGTTAAAAATTTATATTTCGGTCAGACCATAAGCATTTGGAACGGTTGTTCAAGGAAAGAGGTATCTTCCGAAGATATCAAACAATAGTCTGACTCGTTGGGTCTGAAAGATGGCCGCGTAAGATTTTAACGTGTAATATAAATCAGTTTGTAAGAATTTTATAGCCAACGCATTATCTAGGTTACTGTTGAACTTTATTTATCGAATCGAGTTGATCATGCATTGGCGATTTGTAATATCAATTTAGAAGATATGCAGGTTTCAGAGGGAAACCTATGCACAAATTCGGTACAAGATCCAATATTAAATGAGTATCGCGATATATTAAACAAGGTTGGAGAGGTTTTGATGGAAAGGGAGAACAGGATCTAGTTATTTTCCATACCCAGTGGAAGAATTAACAGGAGACAGAAGAGTAGTCGAACAGAATAGTATTACAACTAAACTTAAGAATGCATTGTTGGAGATAATACATCGGGGGCATTCTGGAATAAACGCGATGAAATCTATTTTTTGGTTGTATTGTTGGTGGCCTAAGTGTGCAGAGGACATCGAACGATATATAAAGCTTTGCGTTGGTTGTCAAAAAAATCGACCAAACGTAGGAGTTACCTTTATAGTCATGGAATATTACTAAAGAGCCATGAGACCTTATAGATCTAGATTTTGCAGGACCGGTTGACTCCTTATATTGGTTAATGAGGGTAGATTCATATTCAAAATGGGAAGAGATAGACCAGATGAGAAGCGCATCGCCGAAGGAGATTATAACGAGAATAAAAAAGTGGTTTGCTATCTTTGGGGTACCTAAAGTATTGTTAACTGACAATGGACCTCAAATTATTTCTACAGAATTTAAGCTATATTGTGAAAAAAATAACATTGCCACATTTGTTCAACGACATATCACCCGAGGACAAATGGGCAGGCCGAAACCATTCAGACCTTGAGAAAGTATTATGTCAGTCGAGAATCAATGCCCGCATGAAGTAATGACTCAAACGGTAGCAGAGTATAAACTGAGAGAAATAAAACTAATTAAAAGTTTAA